ATGAAAAATATAAAGAAAGAGCTATTCTATGCTGAGCTTAGATGTACAAAGGGATTGGATATCTTTTTGTGAAGGAAAGGAGGTGTATTTATAGGTTTTTGGGATGGGATTCGGGTACTCAATCGGGTATATACATGGTACCCGATCGAGTATGTGTGTAACATCCGATCCGAGGCATACTCGACCGGTTTCAAGCTATTTTCTAAGTGTATACCCGATCGAGTATATATGAATACCCGGTCGAGTATTCTTAGAAAGTGGTATTCGGGCTATACTCGACCGATCTTCGTTTGCAATTCAAAGGCATACCCGATCGGGTATGTCGGTCTACCCGATCGGGTATAGACATAGAATCGTGGCCAAAATCTTCCCTGCATGTTCCTTTGTCTTCGGATCTGATCCGATTTGAAGTTCCAACCTAATACCCGATCGAGTATAGCTAATACTCGACCGAGTATAGACCAAAATTCAGGATCTTCTTTTGTCTTTGAACTTTTTCACCTTCTCTTCACTTTTTGGGTTCACCAACCGTACTTTGAGTGACCAAAACCTGCTTAAGCTCAGAATATATCTAATCTAACCTATTTACAAGAATTTAACAATCTAATCTATTACACCAAAAGTGTGTAATTTCCAAAGTAAAAGTCAAGCAAAACTAATTTAAAGCATAAACATAGAAATGAAAATTACGAACGTATCAGGCACTGAGCAAACGCCTATTATTTTTACAGACTTTTCACTCAACAAAAATCGATGTTATTTGTACAGACTCCCCACTCAACAGAAATTGATTCTCATCAGACCTTGACTCGATTCTATCCAAGAAACATGCTTCTGAAGAAAACATGAAAATGATGGTAGCGTAGAGAACTCTACCAACAAAAAGTTAAAGGATGTTAAGATTGAGATGTGACTATGATTTTTCAGGAGTTTTGTTTTAAATTTATTACCTGCATTGATATGCATTTCCATTCATGGGATTCATGATATACATGATTTTATTTTTTTATGTTGCTTTGAGTAAGCTGAGACCATTTCAAAAATACTTTTTTCATGGAGTGTTATTAATATTAAATTCACCAAAGTACCATAAGGGGTTTGTATTCACTATTGGAGAACTACTTATGATGACAATGTTAGTATGTTATATGTAATGTACATTAGTTAAACATAGATAGATCGAGTAAGTGGTAATTAAAATGTTGGTTCTATAGCTTTTTAAATTGCTCATTAATGACTTAGTTAAGCAATAACTAGATAGCTATTATTTCCATATGATACAATGAAAAGAAGATTTTAGCTAATGATATAAAAGGGTGAATAAGCCAATCTTAAAAAAAAAGATATTTTAATTCTTATTACCAAGTTTATCCTTAAAAGAACATGAGGTTTGCAAAGATGACCGGTGAGCCGGATGAACTAATTATTCAATCCATTTTCGAGTGGATTTTAAGGATTGAGGATTGTGCTTTTACAAAAACTCAAGATGGACAATCACATTTTGATAAATCGGATGATATGATTGCTCTAATGGTATTTGATCTGGTTGAATCTATTTTTCAAACTATTTATCATGATTTTTAACTCATAATGATCCAATTTTTTATCTTTAGTCAAGGGCTATTATTTTTCCGAGCATAGAAAAGGTTGATAAGGTAAAAAATAACATGTTGGATAAAATAGATTCGAGTTAAAGATCTATCTAAATCCAGATTCAGTTTCTTCATCTAACTCAGATATGGACCTCTTACAAGAGATACATTCTCCTAAGTGTCTAAATAGAATTAAATGTTCAGGTTTTTCGTGTCATGGGCTAAAGCTGAAATTGGGAGGTTTATGATGCTTATGAGAAATATAGATTATTCATATGGATTGTACAACGACACATGACTTACAGTTACTAAATTTGGAGCTCATAGTATCGAGGCTCATATGACATTGGAGAAATGCCAGTGAAAAATTTCTTATTCCTAGACTTATTCTAACACCATTAGACGCCAGACTTCCTTTCACTTTTAAGTGTACACAATTTTTGTTAACGGTTAGCTATGCAATGACCATTAATAATGGTTTGGGAAGGTCATTGGAAAAAGGTCGAAATCTTCCTCTGTTGGTTTGTTTTTACGAATGGACAATTTCACGTGATGGTCTTGAGAGTAACATGCCCATCAGAGTTAAAGTTTGTAATATGTGATGAAGACGAATAATCAGCCTCTTGAACGTCGTATATAAAAAAGGTTGTAGTTATTTGTAGTTTTCCTTTACAATTTCATGGATATACATGCACACCTATTTTATCGCATGATGATTCATATTTGACTTCGAAAAATATTTTTTAATACCTTACTCCCTAAGCATTATAATTTCTTGAACTATCAAATGTAGGGCATCCTACGTTGCTCGAAAATTAATTGAAATTGGAAGCTTCGGATAGAAGGAATCGAACATTAATATCAATTCAACTTGACTTAAATTTGAATTTCAATAAATAGAAGTTGTTCTAAACAGGACTTTAAATATAAATGGACAAATAGAATTTAATGTTTATAATACCCTTATATCCTTAATATAATATAATTGATTATCCTCTAATTCTCCAGGACAGTCAGTTGATGGTGGCAGCGGTGACCGATGGTCCGACAACATATTGGTGGCAGGCCCAATCCTTGTAGGGGTATTTTGTCCAAACACAAAAAACTCCTATTTTACTCTTGGGAGAACTCCTTAGATAAGATATTCAATTTTCAAAAATAGAACTTAATATTTAAAACTCCATAAATAGGAATTACGGAGTATTATTTTTAATTGGGTGAAAATACCCTTATAGAGGTTGGCACATTGCCGCCGCTGGTTGCAGGAAATCCGCCATCATTCACCGCCGATGGACTGCTACTGAGTGTCGTCACCTCTATCATATTGCCGCCACGAACAAATTGCCCTAATTATGCTAGAGAAACTAGAGATTAATTAGGATGTTTTTACTTGGACTGTAATTCGTCCCAGACCAGACCAGATAAGACCAGACCAGACCAGTTCAGACCAGACCAGACCAGCCTTGAATATTTATAAAAATACAAAGAAACCAGACCAAACCAGCAAATTACAGTCTAAGTAAAAACATCCTCAATTAAAGTGTATATTAAGAATGGGAATGTAATGTTTGAAAAATAAATCATAGTCTTTCTATATTTTAATTATAAGAAATTATCCAAAATGAGACTAAAACATTGTCAAAACTTCAAAATAGGAGTATAAGTTTATTTATTCCTAAATAGGACCACAGATTACATTTTTGCCCTTCCCTACTTAAATTCAACATCAGCGCCTCTGACATATTAGAAATTAGGGATCTGCATCTTCCGGATTTAGGAGTTGTTGTGTCGTTCCTCATCAGAGACCTCATTAAAGGTTCACCAACGAATTTCCAATCTTCCATTGCCGCTCCCGTCGCTCGTCGGTACCACAGTTACATCCGCTGCTCGTTGGTACCGCAGTCATAGCAACCGCCAGCCTTCTGCAATTTTTCCCATGGAATCAAGTATTTTCCCCTTCTCCTTTCTATCTTCTATTCTCTTCTCCTCTTTTCTCCTCTCTTCTTTCTCTTCCATTTCCTTGTTGGTTGTTGTGGATCGTTGCGCTTACCGCTACACTAAAAGCAATCGCTGATAGTGAAGCACGCTCCTCCCCCTTTATAGCACAAGCGAAGCGCCACACGGTCCGATTGCACCGGCAGGCTGGCTGTTGCTGGCACCGCATACCCGCGGCCCAACAATCTCCCCCCAACACCTGCCAGCCTACAACTGTGCAGCATGCTGTTGTCGGGGGTCGAACCCGTGACCTTGGCTCTGATACCACTTGTGGATCGTTGCGCTTACCGCTACACTAAAAGCAATCGCTGATAGTGAAGCACGCTCCTCCCCCTTTATAGCACAAACGAAGCGCCACACGGTCCGATTGCACCGGCAGGCTGGCTGTTGCTGGCACCGCATACCCGCGGCCCAACAGTTGTGCTCTGTTTTTGTTCCTTGGGATTCAATTAGATCTCATAAGTTGGCTGGCAGTCGAATAAGGTTGGAGGGGACGGAATTTGAACAACTTTTGAGCAACGAGTGTTCAAAAAAATTATTGGATTTTAAATTTATTTTATTATTTTTTAATTTGAAAATTTCATAACTATTTAAATCTGAATTGAAAAAATGTCAGAAAGATATTAAAATGACAAGATCACCTTGAAATTAAAATATATGAAATGTCATGTTTTTGGCCTGTTTGACAAAATAATGTCATTTTTCTCAACTTGAATTTCTTCTTATCACTTTTGATTAATTTGAATCTCAAAATGTCCTCACTAATGATTATCAAGAAAAATGTCACTTTTTGAATCAGAAAATGTCATAATTATTTATTATTTGAAAAACTGTCTCTTTTATGTCATTAAAGCATTTAAAATTGCCAAATTGAGAATGTCATGATTCTATTTGAAATTGTCATTATTTTGTCATTATGCATATCAAGTGGCATTCTCGCATATCAAGTGTCATTTTGGATGGAGGTTACAGGGACTTACCGAAGAACGGTAGCTTCGTCGGAGGACGGCGGCGGCGAACTCAGCGGAGGCGGCGAACTTGGTGGAGGATCCACGGTTGAGACACTGGAGGATGATTGTCGCACATGTCTGGGTGATGACTGCGACACGTGTCTGGAGGATGGATGAGATGCGCAAAAAATGTTACGCCAGTTTCATTAGGGCTATTACTGTCCAAACACAAATATTTAATCTTATTTAAGAAATTTAAAATAATATGTCCTATTTTTCTAATTGTCTCATCTTTTAGTCCTATTTTGGAAATTCTCTCAAAAATACTACTTGTATACATTGAGTTACACACCGGTTTACATTTGAGTATATTTTGTCTATGCATATGCAATTGATTTTGATTGCATTTTTGAATTTTGTTTTGTAAACTCTCACTTAGCTTTTTGTAAACTTTCATGATGTACAAATAGTGTATAAATTGTACAAAATGAAGTCAAAGTCCAAGTTTAGAAACGAGCGCCAGAATGGACAGAGTGTTTTCTTGTTCGGTGGAATCTCCCAGACCCCATACCCAGACCCGACAGAAAAGAGTGTTTTCTGATATCGCCGACGAGTTCTGGCCGCTGCCCCCGTCCCCGTCGGATCCGCTGTCCCACGCGTCGGAGATCGGAACCGGGTCCCCTCCTTCCTCCTCCTACGGGATGATGAACAGCTGCTCCTCTGAGTGGAAATTCCAGGGCTTTCTCCAGGAAGGCTCCATCATTGATCAGAGCTTTCCTCAGGCCCTTCTGATTGACTCTGCCGCCAATGCTTCATCTTCTACATCTACTGCTCATTCGCCACAACTGCAGCAGATCCCCGCTACCAGTCGAAATCCGAATGACAATGTGACGACGTCTGGTGCAGCAGCTGCGGCGAAGGTAATAGAGACGACTAACAATTATACGGATACGGTTGCCTCTCTCCTGCCGATACCTAGTATTCCTGTTGATCCCGAGTTGCACCAGGCTTTCCTCAATGCTTATCGATTTTCCGCTTCTTCGGTCATTCCTTGTTTTCAATTTTTACACCCGAATTAGTGTTTATGATCTCTTAACTCTTGAAAATGCCAATTGAAAAGGAGTTTTTTTTCGAATTTTATCCATTGGTGCTTGTATTATGGTCTCTCAGTAATTCCAATTTTCTGCTTTGTAATAAAGGGTCATCAGAAAATACGGCCTACATTCCTTTCACTTATTTCCTTATGACTTAGTATTACTTGCTCCGCTTACACTTAGGTGGTTGTCAACTAATATTATGGTTATTTTCCCATCCTCTCTCACTTGGAGCAAGTGAAAGTGAACTGATGGAATAGCTGACTTTGGTAAGGTTGTATGCTCATTTGCTATCTTATGTGCTAGGCAATTAACATCAGGCCTCAAAATTCAGCCGCTGTGCCGCCATGTAAGGGTTCATCGGTCTCTAATTCATTTGAACAAGGATCACAGGTACCATCTAAAGGTTAGTATTTCTTTTCAAGATGATGTATGTGTCAAGTAGAGGGCCAGTAACATCCTACCAGGCTACCATTGTTGTACAGGTCATTTGGCACATGCTATATCTTGCATGGATTGATATTTTAATTGTTTCTCTTCTAATAAATGTTACACTTTCATCAATCCTTTGTATTCACATAAACGTGTTCTGCAAAAAAAAATTGTACATCTGCTCTGCGCTTTTCAAGAAGTAACTATGTTTGCTACTTCTTGAAAAAGAGTTTGAGACAGTAGCAGATGTAGTTGGAGGGATTGAGGGAATATGAAAGGTAAATAGTTAATTAGAAGCGAGGGATAAACTAGTTAATATTTGCATTTGAATGGCACTAACTGCCAGAAGTGCCATCTATGCCTAGCACTGATCGCTGAGGTGTGACTTATATAGCTTCATATTATTTTGAACATGTCTTGACTCTTAATTGAGTGGACCTATTGCTCACATAGTCACATCTCATTCATAATGTGATTTTGTAAAGGAACATTTCTAGAATGTTGTGACTGTATGTCTGTATGAGTGATTTTGTGAATGCAACTGTGCATATTTTTCATTGTATCAAGCTGATTTTAATCAGCACTGCGGGCTTCATTACTGTATAGAATTTTCAGCATAAAAATAAATGAGGAATTTCTATACTAAAATAGTTCCATATCTAGAATTCTTAAGTTACCAGCTGAGTAATTTCGTAACTCTTCTTAGATCTCCAACACAAGTTTATGCAACCATCTTCATTTAGAAAGGATATTAACTTCTCTAACATCTCAACTCGGTATGTATAGTAACTTGAGGTTTACAGAGTTCGCAAGATCTCAGCTAGAAAATTAATGTTTTCCTTACTAAAAGGATGAAACAGTTGCCACGTTATTTTAATCAAGATATCATTATGCTAAAGAGACTGAAAGCACCACACATTATTTATAACAAATACAACTTGGATAGTCACAATGCGTTCCTAGAGACTACTTATGGTTCATTGATTTAAAAGAGAGTCTTGTCCATTGTCATCATTTTCTATAAACCTACATGGTAAAACATTTAAGAGTTAGATCTTCAGTGACGGAAAAGATAATAAAACGCCCCAAAACCAAATAAGGGTTATTGTGCTGCTTCGGAGTCCAAAAAGTCTCATTCAACTTATGATGAGTAACTACTTGAAAATTTTAATTTTTTTTAATTTCATGGGTTATAGTTGATTTTTTTAGAGAGAGAAAAACGCGTTGAGATAATCTTTTTATTAACTAATAAAAAGAAAAACGTGTAGTTGACTTCTTAGAGAGAGATATAATATGAACACATAATGCTTTCCTTAAAATGAAATAGGGATCATTTTAGTACGAGACAAAAAGAAATGTGTGGATAATTTAGGAATAGAGGCAGTATAACAATTTTTAACTGCAGACGTGCATTATCGATTTATAGTATTGCAAGCGTTAGAAATGCATCAACTTATTTGAAAATTCTCTTCATTATTTATTTTCACTATATAGGATTTGTACATAATTTGCCAATGGTGGAAGAGGAGGCTAGAGTGCCACCGGGTATACCCTCCTTGCCTGCAGTACAGAAGAAATCTGCTACACAGGCTCGGTCAACAATTAGTGGGTCAGAGCAGTCAGATGATGATGAAGCGGAAGGAGAAGGCGAAGCTGAAACAACTCGGCACGGGGACCCAGCAGATGTGAAACGTGTAAGGAGGTCAGGACTTTCACAGTATTTATAGTTTTCAAATTACCTGATTAATATTAATATACTAGAAAAACAGGGTCTAGTAAAGCTTTACTGTTAGGGAGTGGGAGGCAGATGGGCCGAGGCTCTAGGAGGAGGCAACTGGGCCGATGCTTCAGGAGGACGGGCCTCGCCCATTATTAGTTTATTGTCGCTGTCAGTGGACCTAATTGGGCTGGGTTGACTGCTGGGTTTTATTACTTTCATCTAATTGTTATTTCTAATAAACTGCTGGGCCATATTTTATTATTAGATTACTGGGCCTAGATGGCCATATTTTATTATTAGGTTAAGGAGAATTTAAGGAGGTCTGATCTTGTGAACTATTATTCATTATTGAGAATAAAGATTTGGTTTGAGCCTAAGGTGGGGCAGACATTAATATCATCTGCTAGGGTATTCTATATGTTGCTGTCTGAATTTTCCAAGGGGAAACCAAGGGGCAGCGGGAAGCACAACTTCCTCGCGGTCTCCAGGTAGTACTTCGGGGTCTGGATCTGCCATGACTGGCCAGTCGGTGAATTGCTCTCGGTTCACACGCCTCTCACCGCAGGAATTCGCAGACCTACGTGCAAAAGGGCTTCGTTTCCGTTGCAAGAAGCTCTATACCCCCGGGCATGAATGTCCCCTAAAACACTTAAGAGTAATGGTTGTCGAAGAAGATGAGGAACTCGACCTCAACCAAACTGAATCTTTTATCCAACCCGAAGAGGTCGAGCAGCTAGGGGAACAGGAGGAGCAACAAGCAGCGGCTCTGGACTTACCTGTATATTCGATGGTGGGAATTTGTAGTTCCCGTACTATGTGATTCAAAGGCGTGATTGAGGGGTTCACAGTGACCATCTTGGTGGATAGTGGCGCAAGTCACAACTTTATTTCAGCCGCCCTTGTACCATGACTCAAATTAAAGGCAGAAAAGACGAGGAAGTTTGGTGTACAGCTAGGGGACGGTCGTCGCCAAGAATCAGAAGGGGTTTGCAAGGGGGTGTTGATCTCGATACCGGGGTGCGAAGTACGAACAGATCGTTATGTGTTTCCTTTGGGAGGAGTGGATGTTATACTGGGAGTAGCATGGCTAGCATCCTTGGGAGAGGTCTGGACCAACTGGGATACGATGACTATGTCATTTGACTGTCAGGGCAGGCCGGTAGTATTACGAGGAGACCCGGCACTCTGCCGGAAACAGGTGGACCTACAGGTCCTGCTTCAGACCAGGGACGTGGATTTTTGGGCAGTTGTGATAGAAGAAGAAACCGCCACTTTATTGTGGCCAAATGTGGAGCAGGTTTGGTGTAGTAGGTTGGCCAGTCGGAAAATGATGCGACATGGACTGGGGGTGCAGCAGTGCCAGCAGCAGCTTCCTCACTCCAACCTTGGGGACAAGGTTGTTTTAGAGGGGGAGGAAATTGTTAGGGAGTGGGAGGCAGATGGGTTGAGGCTCTAGGAGGAGGCAATTGGGCCGATGCTTCAGGAGGACGGGACTCACCCGTTATTAGTTTACTGTCGCTGTCAGTGGACCTAATTGGGCTGGGTTGACTGCTGAGTTTTATTACTTTCATTCAATTGTTATTTCTAATAAACTGCTGGGCCTAGATGGCCATATTTTATTATTAGGTTACTGGGCCTAGATGGCCATATTTTATTATTAGGTTAAGGAGTATTTCAGGAGGTCTGATCTTGTGAACTATTATTCATTATTGAGAATAAAGATTTGGTTTGAGCCTAAGGTTGGGGTTAGGGTTTTCTGCTTCTATCATGTACAGTCATATGTTGTCTGAATTTTCCATTCATCTTACTGACATTAGTAGTTTTCTTGAGTTTCTGCCTTCCATATCCTTGGTTACATTAATACATGCATGATGTAGATATATAGTACTGGCTAAAATTCTGAACCTACATCTTTGTTATTGTTCTTTAATTTTCACCTATGGAATTTCTGTTTTATGTAAAAGAATCATTTTGCATGATTGATTTGCACAGTATAAGATGTCTTGGTTTTTCATTAAATAACTAACTTTTAACATGCAACCATAAATTTTTGGACAATTTTATTCACTAAATGATGAATCATGAATGTGGTAATCAGGCACTGTGAATTTTTTATCGCATATAACTCTGAATTGTTTGTGCTCTTTCTAGAATGAGATCTAACAGAGAATCAGCTAGACGTTCCAGGAGTAGAAGGCAGGCCCATCTGACAGAACTGGATACACGGGTATCTTTCTTTAATCCACCTTTATATATTGGAAGGTTCAAGTGAGAACCTTTCTCGTGATAAACACCACTTCTTAGTTCTTACATGAGCACCTCTAATATTCCATAACGTTAATCTATTTTTGTGATTGAAAAGGGGGCGTTTTTGTAAGATATTTTATGGATGCTGAGGAAATTGTTATGCTAATTACAAAAAAAACCACCTTATCAATTAGAACCATCATTTGAAATCATGCATGTTTGAGATCGGAATTTGGAAGTGCTCATTTAATAAGTGATGCTCACAAGAAGGATGCACACATACCTTATTGTCCCTGCGAAGTCTCTTGTGTTTTCCTTATCAAGTCCATCTCATGGTATACTCTAGGTGTCTCAGTTGAAAATTGAAAAAACATCTTTGGAGGATCGTTTGACAGATGTGAGATGTAAATACAATGAGGTTGTGATTGACAACAGAGTCTTGAAAGCAGATGTTGAGACACTAAGAGCAAAGGTAGAAGATGTTAGAATTTAAATTGAAGTGATTTTTTAGATGTGGCATTACTTACCCCCACCCCCTCCGGCAACACTACTGTTTACAGGTTAAGATGGCAGAGCAAACAGTTAAAAGACTAACAGGTTTGGATCCACTATATCAAGCGACATCTGACATGTCCAGAGTTAGCATGCAATCCTTTACTGGCAGTCGTGCTGCACCATCAATTGATGCTCGTGCCGCTCTACCAATTCATAATGGGTCCAGCCATAACTTTTATCAGAGCCCATCAAGTGCTCCCATTCAGCCCCTTGATCATCCAAGTCCAGAACAGCTTGGTAGGCATTCTGCAAATAGATGACTCCAGCATCAATGCAGCAGGTGGCTAGCTTGGATCATGTACAAAATCAATATCCTGGATAAGTAGGGGTGTTTGTGGAAATCCGCATACACATGAATGATGTTGAATTCATTTTTTAAAAGTTCAATTAATTGTGTGTGAGAAAAGATACATATTTTAGCTGTTGTAACGTTTATATGCTTGAGAAAATTCCCAACCTAGGAGCAAAACATAGGAAGTATGCCAAAATAGGAGTCTTACGCCTCAGCTAAGTTTCACACGAAAATTATTAGTAACTGACCGTAATGCCCTTAATGAAACAAAGCTGGAGATTTCCATTTTCAAAGCAGCCAGAATCCCATAACACTCCAGGATAACTGAGATCTTTTTTTATATATCTAAAATCATATCCCTTGACAAACAACAGAAGATGAAGGTCAGAATGACTTTCGCGAGAAGAACCATAAATCATGTCTAATTCCGACTAGACAAAAGGTCAGAATCAACTTAGAAGTTGTACGTTGTAATTACTATCAAACAAATATAAGTGATTTTGCGATGCTAATCATGTATCATTTTATCTACTTTTAACTTGCTGAAATTAGAACTTGCTGAAGATGCCTATTTTTATATTTTGTTTTTTCAATTTAGTAAATTCAATCAACTCAGTTATTTTAATTAAGATTTCATCATTTAGAACATATTTTGAGCTTGTATGGTAATCATGTTTTTCGACTTATAGGCTTATCAGTCACTTTTTCATCAAACACGTAACTTTTTATTTCACGTGCTGAGTTGTGTAATAATAAAAAAAAAGTAAGTGAAGTTACTTGTATGACTGCATTGGATGAAGTTACTGTAGAGACTCGTTTTAGTTATTTTTCATGTAATTTTTTATTCATTTTAGTAGTAAATATATTTTATATATACTCCCTCCGTTTCTGAAACAAGTTCCACCTTTCCTTTTCGGGCAGATTCAAAATTAAGTTTCACTTTCAAACATTTCCTTATTTGGCAAATTATCTACATCAAAACAGTGCCAAACAGTGCCAAACAGTGTTCAAACAGTGCCAAACAGTGCACTCCACAGTAAAGTCAAATTTATTTTCTTAATATGTGTGAAGTCAAATGTGGAACTTGTTTCAGAATCGGAGGGAGTAATTTTTATAAATCAACAGAATCAATCAATCTAACCACTTCAGTTAGAACTTCATAAACTTTTGCAAAATAAGTCGATTCAGCTGATTTCAGTGTTACAAAACGGGCTCTTATTCAATTCAATCCATTTGAATGCTAGTGAACTCATCATCATCATTACCTACGGTGAGGTAAGAGGGGGTCGGATTTACGCAACCCTACCCTTGTACTAAAGCACGGAGAGACCGTTTACGAATGACCCATACTAAATTTTAAAATCGCGTCAAAAATTGCACATAATTTTTGCAATTCAGCACAGAGAGACAGTTGCTTCATAATAAAGAAGCGCAGATAATTTAGTAAATCATCTTGCTTTATTCCATCGGGATGTGCTCCGAGAGGATGTAACTAGGACAGTTCAGAAATTCTTTACAGATGGAGTTATGAAAATGGGTGTTAGTGATACCGCTATAGTTCTTATTCCAAAAATTAATGAGCCGGAAGAGGTTAAAGACTTTAGACCCATTGGCCTTTGCAATGTGATTTATAAAATTATTTCGAAGTGTTTGGTTAATCGGTTAAGCCCTTGCTTGAACATTATTCTGGGGCATTTGATTACCGATAATGCGCTCATAGCTTTTGAATGTATACATGCAATGCAGGAGGAGGATGAACGTGGAGAATTTTGTGCTTATAAGTTAGACCTTGCCAAAGCTTATGACAGCGTTGACAGGAGGTCCTTGGAGGGTATAATGATTACATTGGGTTCAAACTATCGGCTGGTTTGTGTGAGGACCTAATGCAAATGATTCAAAATTTCTAGTGGAAGATGGATTGAATGACAGAAAGGTCCACTGGATATCTTAGGTTTTCGGGATTTACAAGCCTTTAATCATGCTCTTCTGGCTCGCCAGGCATGGAGGCTTATGAAATTTCCTGAACGAATTCCTGAACTTCTGGTGTTAAAAGCAAGGTACTACCCGGATGGTCAGCTTCATAATACTAGTTCAGCCAGCTAAGGAAAGTGAAGAAGAAGTGGTTTTACGTCTTGAGGTTCCATGGCAGATTAATCTTTGATTGTAATCCTGCATCTTTCCATTAATCTAATAATCGTTCTTTCCTCTCAAAAACGAGACCTAAAAAGTCGAAGTTAGCTTAGCTTATTTTATGGAGTACTCCGTAGAGTTTACTCATAGCACCATACATTTTTAACTTTTAACAGATTAAAAAGTCAAAATACTTCACGTGAAGCTCTAGAAGTTATGTCTGTTTTGGGTGGGTTTTTAAGCGAGGCTTTCCCTTCTGCACTGGCTTAACTTTCCGTTTTTCTCTATCCATGTCTCGAAACCAAAATTCATATGCTAATTATGGCTCTCTTCCACCGCGAGCTTCAAATCCACCGACTCTCATTCCGCACCCCAGATCCGAGTTCGCCACGCGCCGCCCATGGCGCGTGTTCTTCGACTTCTCCTCCTTCTACCGCCCGTACGATTACGCCGAGGCAATGTCTCGCGTACGGCGCAACCTCGACTACTTCCGCGTGAACTACGCCATGGTTATTCTCTTCATCCTCTTCCTCAGCCTCGTGTACCATCCGATCTCCATGGTCGTCTTTCTAGTCATCTTTGTGGCTTGGGTCTTCCTCTACTTTTATCGCGAAGGACCTATTTTGGTCTACGGAAGAGAGTTCAGTGACCGTCCCGTTTCGATCTTATTGGGATTGGTGACTATTATCGCATTGGTATTTACTCACGTTGCGGTGAATGTGCTAGTGGCTTTGATCATTGGGGTTCTTGTGGTTGGCCTTCACGCCGCGCTTAGAGGGATGGAGGACTTATTTTTGGATGAAAATGAGGCTGCTGAAGGCGGGCTGCTCTCAGTTGTGAGTGAAGAGCAAATCAGGCCTGGTCACAACTTTCCCACAATCAGATAAAGGGGATATTTGTCCATGAAGAGCAAATCAGGCGCTTTGTCCATGATTCGTGTTCAAGGATTGGCATACTAGAAACTGCTGGGGAGATCCCAATTTTGAAGATTTGAACACAATTTCAAAAAGATCTTTGTTTCCTTTTGATGCAACTTCTCAACTTCTGGTGCTGGTTGGGAATTCACATTCTATTTGTGATGTTGTTTTCTGAAATGTTGGTTAGGTAGGGTGGGTCAGGTATGGAGCAATTTGCGAAGGAGAGTAGGTTGTGTAGAACAAGTTGGGGAGACAGGTGAAGTTTTTCCTTCTTGTTGTCTTTATTTTACCGAATGAGTTTCTTGTTTATTTTGTTCACCTGTGGTTTACCTCTAAATTCTCTAATTCCTTTTTGTTTATACTAAGAACTAGATGTACTCTTGTATAGTTTGCTTTAACTCGATTACAAATTTACAACTATTAAGTCTGCCTACTTTATTGCATTGCATTGCATGCTTTCTTGCTCTCTGGTATGGTCATTCTATGTATTCGTCTCATCTAAGTTCAACTTCAAATGGTGATTGGAATTATGTTTGGAAACCATATTTTATTTTTTCTTTTGACCCAACAAGTGCAAATAATGAAAGAAACGAGAGATTTGTGTGTCTTGATGATCTGCAGTTGGTTGAATCAAGCTAGCAAATGTTGATGCTAATGTATGGATTTTATAAATTCAAATGTTATGGTGTTCAAGGATGGTTTTTCTTTAGCCTTTTAGTTTTTTTTATCCTTTTAGTGTAATTTTTCCATCATTTGCAATGGAGCCAAAGATTCATTATTTTTTGGCTTGAGATTATGATGGAATAAAGCAAAATGGCTCACTAAACTGTTTGCGCTTCTTTGTCATGAAGCAGCAGTCAGTCCATGCAATTTTGGACGGGATTTTCACTATGGGTCATCCGGAAACAGTCTCTCTGTGCTTTAGTACAGGGGTAAGACTGCGTACATCCGACCCCTCCTTACCCCACCGTAGGTGGGAGCCTTTGAGGCACTGGGGTAAATGAAAATGAAATGAAATGAAAATCCTTTTAGTGTAATGTTAATTATAGGATGTATCTGGAATTGCTGCTTAGATTATGGCCCTTTTTAGTGACTCTGGTGCTCCTACTTGTTGTGTTGTTGTTGCTAGCTCACCATTGCCTTCAGCCTTGTTAGGCATTGTTCTTTGTTTTCTTTTTTCTAAGAGATGAATAATATAAATATTCCAAACTTTTAAGGGGTGTGAGATATATACATCAAACTTGCATATGCAATATACATACCCCGCACTTCAGATAAAATGTTACTTTTGCACCATGTCATTATGGTTTTTCTTTCTTAAATATAAATTTATTGTGATAAGTACATAATTTAAAATACTACATCTGGTTCTGTCTAATATTAATTGCATTCTCATAAACGTTTTGGGTATTTTAAGTTATATACTAAATTTACATTTTTGAAAGTAAAACATATGATAATGGTACTAACATATCTTTTTATATAAAGTTTGGGATATATATATATATATATATATATATATATATATATATATATATATATATATATATATATATATATATATATATATATTACATGTGTAAGTTTAGGATACTCACACTCTTTCAAAGTTGAGACATTTAAATTATTTTTTCCGTTTTTTAAATGAAAATGAAAGTCAAAATCAGAAAAGTATTTTTTCATATATTAGTTGTTGGCAGTTTTCCAAGCTAACAAGATTAGCATATGAATGATTGTATTCTACGGAGTAGTTCATTATGCAACATGTATCATCCGCATTTTCAAGTTAAAAAAAAAGTGAAAACCTACATTTATACCAAATGAAGAGCTTTGTTTGGCACAGCTAGCTAAAAAAGTATTTTTGTGAGCTTTTTAATAATTGTTAGCTTCTGGTGATTGAATCTTAAAAGAAAAATGGTTTAGCCGTTTGATAAAAAATTGATTGTTTGGTTTTAGTTTTGTTTAGTTTAACAAGTTGTTAGTGATTAATTAATGTTAAAAGCTATATAGACTTTTTTCACAAATGCTACTCAATGTAGCTTTTCAAAAAAAAATCTTGATTTTTGCTAGAGGTACCCCATTTGATACCTCATTTGTACCTCATTCCTATATTT